ACATCTTCTCTGCTGTGCTAAAAATCCCTTCAGTTCAAGGCAGATATAAAGCTTTTTCAACGTGTACTCCCCACCTGATGGTTTTTTCCTTATTTCTGGGCTCTGGAATGTTTGCCTATATGAGGCCCCAAAGTCTTTCCTCCCATACTTTGGACTTACTCTCTGCTTTTCTCTACACAGTTTTGCCATCACAACTCAATCCCCTCATTTATAGCTTCCGGAACAAGGACATCCAAAAGGCTGTGTGGAGAATGCTTAAAAAAATAAAAGTACAAGTTTCATCTATGTAATTTTTTGTTTGTTTATAAGCACTATTCAGGTATCATAAAACCCTGTCCACGTCAACTCTCCATGTTAAAGCAGTCACTCTGTAAATGGATGTTCAAAGTCTTAGAAATGTTAATTACTATCTAAATGATGGAAGGGCCACTTAAAGATATGCCATAGAATTGTCCCACTACTGTAATATTTAGTTTTATATGGTTTTGTGAATTAAACTTAAATGTGTTTTATTGATGCTGAATTGAGTATTGAAAATTTGGAATTTATCAAGAAATGAAGAACTTTGGATTTATTGTAACTTGTGTTTTGAAAAAGATAGTTCTGTTACAGTGGAAAGATAATCTCACCCTGGCCTTGCAAAGTTGGACTGGTGGTATTTGTTTGCTCTGTCTGTGTGAATTGATTCTCTATTGACATAATGGAAGGATTGACCAATATTAGTCTATGTGACTGGGATTAAATGCTGTGTTAAAAACCGATCTGCTTCTCTGTGTGATTTTTATTATTCCTTTTTTGAAAGGATAGGATTTTAAGTTTTATGTATTAAAGCAACAAAAATATTTATAGAAAAAAAATGCTTTAGGTTGTGGCAGATGGAGGAAGCTGACAAATGAAATGTTCATTCAGGTAGCTTTTCATGCTCATAAGGTGACTTTCTTTTCCCGATAACTTTTGTTCCTGAAATGAAAGGTAATCTATATCCAGGTAATTTTAAGGGTGCTTAGTGTATTTCTACGCCAAGACTTTCTGTAGACTTCGCTGCTACACTGTAAATAAAAGGATACCAAAGTAGCTGAAGGACTCCTTGCTAGGAGAAGTTTCCCAGAGCACATCTGGGCAATCTCCTATCCTCTCCTTATCCAGAAAGGTTCCAAAGAATTGGACTACTCAGTGGTTCTTCAGTCTTCAGAGAGTGGTTATCATCTCCACTGATGCTTGGTAATTGGTCTCAAGGCTTGACTAACTAGTTTATCCATGATCTTATGCTTCATATCATCTGCTGTACTCTGTACAACTGCAATGGAAGGGGTGGCAGTGATGTTCCAGCTTCAGATGTTGGCTGCACATCCAGTTGTTCTTTCAGGCCTGCTTGAGTCCAGGTTGTAATGTGGAGTTAGTCTATATCAAGTTGTGAAAGCAGCTTCCTCTTCACTATGTTGAAGCATTGGGTAACTAGCTGTTTCTCAGTTAGTGTGGATGTAGGTCTTCTATCTATCCATAATTCCCTCATATGTTTGATATATCCCCTCATATTAAGTCTACTGTTGTAGTAGCATTTCATCAATCCCAAGAATCTTGTTACATGGAATACACACACACACATACACAAATAGGCCCATAGAGGAAAGCGGGGACCATCACCTAAAGTCCTCCTCCCCTCCTGGTTGGTGAATTGGCAGCAGGCTTCTTTACATGATCCTATAAAAGAGAAAGGATCTCTGTGTATTGTCGAAGGCTTTCACGGCCGGCATACGATGGCTT